GCTATGGTTGCCCTTGCACTGGACAGGAAAGGGGAAATACAGAGTAATAGCTGAGTCTCTGGCAAGAATCTATGTCCTAGAAGGACACACACTGAAAGGATATTCACCAGAAAAATTCCACCTAGAGGCCTAGTGAGATGACAAGTGAGATCTCTGTATTTGCTGGGAATCTGGCTGGAAAAACAAAGTCCCGGCTAAGGTAGCAGAACCCAGGACTGCACATCATGTGGACTTGAGGGTAGGGTTTATACCACTCATTTTGTATGGAAAGCCTTTGAACTGATAAATAAATGTTAAAATTAGGTTTTTGGATGGTGATACTCCTGGGGCACCTAGAAGAAAAAATAATCCCTATACTCAGACCGTTAAAGGACTGTCACAGGGCTTCCCTGGTGGCGCAGTGGTTGGGGGTCCGCCTGCCGATGCAGGGGACACGGGTTCATGCCCCGGTCCGGGAGGATCCCACATGCCGCAGAGCGGCTGGGCCCGTGGGCCATGGCCGCTGAGCCTGCGCGTCCAGAGCCTGTGCTCCGCAATGGGAGAGGCCGCGGCAGTGAGAGGCCCGAGTCCCGCAAAAAAAAAAAAAAAAAAAAAAAAAAGGACTGTCACAGATCAAACAAGTCCCAAACACTACAAGGACAGAATCTGAAATTACAAAACACACATGCATGCTTTCCATCATGAATGGGTCAGCAGACAGAACAAACAGCAAGATAAGGGCACCAATAAATTGAGATAATAGAAAAAGTGGTCTAAAATCTAAAAAAATATATGAAATAAATATGCTCAAATAATTAAGGACAAAAACCCTTAAAATCCTATTTAAAAAGAAGAGACTATGTAAAAAGAAATAGTTGAAAAATAAACAAGGAGAAATTCTAAAAATAAAAATATAGAAAATAAAAATTCAAGAAAAGCGGTTTTAAAAGCAGATTATAGATAGTAGAAAGGAAAATTAGTGAACTGGAAGATATATGTGAGGAAATTATCCAAATGCAACCCAAGTTTTTAAAGAGATGGAAAATGTGACAGGTTAATAAACATACAAAGTAGAAATAAAAGCTCCAATATTTATCTAATAAAACTTACAGAAATAGAGAAAAGTGAAAGTTAAGAAGAAAGAATATTTAAAGTGAAAATAGCTTATTCTAAAATTGGTGAAAGATACAAATTCTCAGATGTAAGAAGTACAATGAGCCCTGAACCAGATGAATGGTAATTAGTACAACTTTAATCACACCATAGAGAAACACCAAAACAACGAAGACAAATTAAAAAAATAAATAAAGGGAAAACACATTACTTATAAAGGAACAACAATTCAACCAGTTTCTCAGCCTCAGCACTACTGACATTTTATCAGACAATTCTTTGTTGTGGGGGTCTGTCCTATGCGTTGTAGGATGTTTTAGCAGCACCCCCAGACTCTATTCACTAGTTCCTATAGCACCTTCCCTCAACGGGGACAACCAAAAACGTCTCGAGACATTGTCAAATGTTCCTGGAGGGCAATATTGCCCCTGGTTGAGGGCTACTAAATTAGACTGATGGAATCCTCAATAGAAACACTAGAAGTCATAGAGCAATGGAAATATCTTTCAAAAATGTTTATGGAAGCAAACTAATAATGTAGACTTGTACACCCAGCTAAACTATAACTCAAGAGCAAGGGTAAAATGCTATTATTTTCAGACAAAGATTGTGTAACATACTGACTCTTGCCAAAAGGATGTACTTTAGGAAGTAGAAGCATTAAACCCAAAGGAAGGAGTGGGATGGAAAAAGCAATTAATAAAAATGAATGTTTTTATGAAAGATTCATAAAAATGATAGTAAATCTAAATAAGCATTGAGCATATTAAAAAAAATGACTAATTTGGAAAGTTGTAAAATAAGAGGGAAGTAAAATGTAGATAGTGATAAGACATTTAAGATGAGAGGGGTGACAGAAACAAATATTTTCTAAGATCTTTGAGTTGTTCAGCAGAAAGGCAAAGAAATTGAGTATGATCTCAGAGTAGGAAAAACTTCTTAAATTTGACACATACAAAAAACAAACCCTAAAGGAAACAATTGATAAATAGTAAGGACTATCTAGTATAAAGTTAAAAATATGCATGCCTCATGACCCAACAATTCTCACTTTTGGTGTCTAGGCCAGAGGTATTCTTCCTTCTATGGACTGGGAGATGTACAAGGATGTTTACTTCAGCACTGTTGTATCATCAAATAAAGTGGAAATCAATTAACCCTCTACCAGCAGGGAAATGGGTAACTTAGAGATTGCTCATTCTGATAAGGAAGCACTATACAGCAGTTAAAATGAATTCTGTTGATTTACATTTATCAACAAAGGCAAAAAACACGACGTTAAACGAAAATCAAGCTTCAAAAGGATACTCAGAGTATGAACAACGTACATGAAAATTAAAACATTTAAATCAACAGAATATTTGTTTATGAGTACATATGTAACACAGAAAAAAATGCACATTTACTTTGAGAAGAGTGAGAAAGTGATGAGAATGGCTTCTAGTTATTTTTGTAATATTGTATTTCTTTTATAAAGAGAGAACTACAATAACTATGGCAAAAATTTAACACGTACTTTTATCTCGGCAGTGGATACACAGGTAATTTTAAATAGAGATTAATTTGGTTTTGTGCTCTTTTGTATATTTAAATGTTTCATTAGGCATTTGTCCAGAAGAAAGGAATAAGACAGAGCTCTCCGGTCTGGCCACCCTCATAACGCTCTAAGAGTAAGTGTATGTAAAGGGGCAAAGTGTTCTTCCTCTCACCAAAATTTTTACTTTCAGAAAAATGAAACTATCTCCTAATAGCTATTGATATTTTTCTTTTAGGAAAAAAACGTGAGTGGTAGTGATCTGTGACCATGTGTACTTTCTATTAATTTGATTAACTACTTAAGATAGTTTCCCCTATATTATTAAAATGTCATCACTTTACATAACAATAATGATGACACAGAAAATATTAATAAAGCCATATTTATATAGTACCTTCACGCACATATAAAGCACTTTTATAAAAATGGCCTCATACCCTTTAACAGCTATATGACTGAGATGACAGATTTGGTTTCCATCTTTTCAATGAGAAGAAAGCTCCCACAGAGTGTCTATTTGCTTAGAGCAGAAGGGATCTGTACGATAACGAGGCCCAACACCTTTATGTTTTAACTATAAAGTGGGAATGATATATTTTCTTCAAAATCCCCCTCTTTGGTGAAGGGAGCACATGAGATAATTCACAGGAATGTCCTCTGAAGAATGTAAAACGCTCTATAAATGCAGGGATTTGTTGTGATTTTCGTTATTGTCTTTATTGCTTCCTTTAACAAACCCTTTTTGTATAATACGTAGACTTAACATTAGGCAGATATAGAACTCTTCTTATGATATAAGTGAATGATTTATAGCAAAAAAAAGAAAAATGGGAATTTTTATAAGAGCATGATCTTTAAAAGTATATGCAAAGACAAAATTCTAGTAGGAGATATAGTAAAGTATCATTTATCTTTGGGCAATTTAAAAAAATATATTTTTATTTTTTAGTTTTATATGGTGATAATACATTACTTCTTAATCAGGAAAAAACCCAGAAGTTGTCAATATCTAGCTATTATTTGGAACATTTATATCGATAAGGTTTCACAAACATTTAAATGACTAATCTTAAATAGTACTATGTAGTTCCTTACGAAGCAATTTTTAAATGAGTCAATCCACAGGGGAGAGATGGGGCCATCAAAAGCTAATTCCTATAAATTGACACAACATTGTAAAGCAACTATACTTCAACAAAATAAATTTTAAAAATCTAATTCTTACACTGACATTTTAATATTCAAGATTTCTTTTGTCACTTAAGAAGGTGTTAAGATCCGGGATTTCTGTCAGTTATTTACGTGAGTATTTGACTCTCAAGAGCTTTTTGCAAGAAAATATGGTTGCCACCTGCTGGTGGCCTGTATTAGTGGAATGGTCTTCCATCTAGGTGAAAACGCCTTCAACTTTCATGTTACTTTCATGAAACTGTGTCCTCTCTTCTGTCCTAACATCATAATAGTGGCACAGTTTGTTGAGTTATTATTTTCTGGCTAGTCCAAGCAGTATATCATTTTACTCCTCACAATATCTGTAAGGAGCATCAACCTTTAATGACTCATAGAAGCAGAGAGAGGTTATATCATTTTCCCCGGGCTGCACAGTGAGTGAAAGATAGAGCTGAGACACAAATGCAGAAAATGGCAGCCCCTCTGCTGCCACTCGTTCCAACTGTATGAAAAGCATCTGTGGTAAATCTGGAATGTGAAAGTTATAAACTATTACTGGTGAAAACATTTATTGAGGAGGCACGGAAGAAAATGAGCAATGAAATGCCAGTCAGATGATCTGGGATTTAATCACCCCTCAATTCTTTACTGCCTGCCTGAGACCCTAAGCAGATCACCATCCCAGAGGGAGCCTCTCCTTTCTCTGTGTCTTACACGGTTTTTGTGAGGACAAAATGAGACAATGAGTATGAAAGCACTTTGTAATCTGTTCCTGTTTTTTTACATTTTATTTCTGAATTAAATGAGATCATTAAAAATTTAAAAATCTGAACTTTTTAATATTTTTTTCATGCAGATGTGGCATCTTTACGTTGTGACCTACGTCTTGCGTTTGATTTGGCAGAGGATAAATACACAAATGCCTATTTAAATATGCTTTTTTCATCTTTAATTAAAATATAGAGATATTTTCCACTGCATTGCCCAATGTCCATTATTCAAGGCCTAATCTGATAAATCACTCTAATTCCAGGAAAACATGGTTTCCACAGGGGAATACGCTCCCTTTCTGTTGTAAGAAAAGAACATAAAGCTCTCTTTGGCTTTGGCTGCCAGGAAACTTAATTTAGTATTCAATGGAGCCCATCTGCGGTTGGGCCCGCCTCTCCCAAAATTCCTTTCCTTCATTGGGTTTACTCACCCTTCTTTGCAAGTGTAAGTGACAGTGTTCCCAAAAGTGAAGTTACTCCCGGTGGTGACAGCATCTTTGATGGCCGGTGGCTCTCCACAGAAGACGAGATGGCAGGTAGGTGGCGCTCTGTCCCAGCTGCCTGAGGCCGAGCATTCGATGACCAAAGGGCCCTGCAAGCTACAGGAAAGAATGGTGCCACCTCTTTTGTTGGCTATTTACTTATTGCTCTGGAGGTGAACAAGGAAGGACTTAGGAGAGAATAGGGGACACTTGAGGAATTTTAATACATAAAAATAAGGTTTCTTCCCATTTTATTGCTTTATATAAAAACAAGGGAAATCTGGGACTTCCCTGGCAGTCCAGTGGTTAAGACACTGTGCTTCTACTGCAGGGGGCACAGGTTCAATCCCTGGTCGGGGAACTAAGATCCCACATGGCGTGTGGCAATCAATCAGTCAATCAATCACTTTTTTTTTTTAAATGGAAATCTGAGCTGGCTACAGATTCATTTAAGACTATGAGTAGGCAAAAACAACATAACTGGGGTGCAAAATAAAATGGTTCAATGTGCTCATTGGTGGTGCTGTGATTAGCAGATTACTTGCATGAGAAGGGGTAACATGTCGGTTAGGATCCAATGATAAGGAAGACAGACACCCAGGAAGTCAGGGTAACTGAGGTCAGAGGGAACTGCCCTTGCCATTAGCCTGGGCATCTGAACAATGTTGCTCATCACTCTGACCTCTGGTCTTCCCCTGAATTTAAAAACCTCGCAGGCCTATGGCATGGCTTATCCATCTTCACTTGCCAACCAGCTTTTGATTGTACAAGTCACTCCCTTTTCTGTTCACTTGATCTGTTTCATGTCAGATCCTGTTGGCCAAGTTTTTGATCACAGCCCGACTCTTTATTGTCCCTTCTTTTTGTTTTGATTTGTTTTTATTTATTTTATTTTTGGCTGTGTTGGGTCTTTGTTGCTGTGTGTGGGCTTTCTCTAGCTGCGGCGAGCGGGGGCTACTCTACGTTGCGGTGCGTGGGCTTCTCATTCCGGTGGCTTCTCTTGTTGCAGAGCACGGGCTCTAGGTGCGTGGGCTTCCGTAGTTGTGGCTCGCAGGCTCAGTAGCTGTGGCGCACAGGCTTAGTTGCCCTGCGCCATGTGGGATCTTCCTGGACCAGGGCTTGAACCTGTGTCCCCTGCACTGGCAGGGGGAGTCTTCATCACTGCGCCACCAGGGAAGCCCCCCTTTTTATTTTTTGAAGATTTTTTTGATGTGGACCATTTTAAAAATCTTTATTGAACTTGTTACAATATTAACAAATTCCTTAGTTCCTTGACCAGGGATTGAACCCGCACCCGCGGCATTGTAAGGTGAAGTCTTAACTACAGGACCACCAGAGATATCGTCCCTTCTTTTTGGACACACACACACACCCCATTAATCAAATTAACCTCTTAACAGTATTAAAGACCCTGGTCCTTATCTTGACATGATTTTTACGCCATCCTATGCAATATTTCGTTTGCCAAAATATCCATCACTAAAGCATTTTATTAGGTGTTGTTATGCTTCATAAACATTTTTTGCTTTCCTGTTTAATGTCTGAATGTTTATAACACTGAATTAGAGGTCCCAGAGTCAAAATTAGATGGAATATTCCCCTGGGCATTTACTACAGGCTAAGCCTCAAGAAGCACACACATTTGAGAATATCTTTTACATTTAAAAACTTGTATTTCAAGCCAGCCAGTCATATGCAAGTGAAACCCACTGAGTAAATAATGAGGAACACGGTATTGTAGGAAGCTTGGCTGGTGTCTAGGACCGTACCTGTATCCATTCTCACACGAATACGATGCAGTAGAAAGATAGGTAAGCCCACTCAAAATATATTTCCCATTATTTATGTCTCCGGGGCTGGAACACTTGACCAGTTCACACAAGGGAGGAGGATGACTCCAAGAACTGCTGGCAAGACAGGATGATTCTTTCTCACCCTCCAGAGTATATCCTTTATCACACCTGATGAAGATAAAAGAAAATGACACAACAGAATGCCTTATTTTGCATAAGTTTATCTGTGCCAAAACTTCCAAAAAGATCAAGAATTTACACATATTGTGAGAGCACTTTGTTTTCCCACTGAAATAATGCTTTGAAAAAAATTTTTTCAAGGTTGAATACTATGCATCTTGCTCTCAGGGATCCTGCTGGGTGATAAATAGAACGATGGATTTAGGATTTGGCTTGTCTCCAGTTTGTGTCATGGATTAGTAGCTGCAAACAGAAAATTCTTTTTTTAGAATTTATTTTATTGTAGTTGATTTACAGTGTTGTGCCAATTTCTGCTGTACAGCACAGGGATTCAGTTATACATACGTATATGCATACCCTTTTTCATATTCTTTTCCATCATGGTTTATCATAGGATATTGAATATAGATCTCTGTGCTATACAGTAGGACCTTGTTGTTTATCCATTCTCTATTTAACAGTTTGCATCTACTATCCCAAACTCCCAATCCATCCCTCCCCCACCCACCTTCCCCTTGGCAACCACAAGTCTGTTTTCTATGTCTGTGAGTCTGTTTCTGACAAACAGAAGATTCTTGGTTTGAGAGTGGTGCTGTCTAGAATGAGTCCCTAGGATGCCGTGCAAGAAGGCCCTGCAAGTTAATGAATATTTTTGGCTATAAGATGGAGCTCTGGATCCAAACCCAAACATGTAATTCAATTAATTCCATATTAATTTGAAAACACCCTCTGGGATTACTCTTTGTCTTTTCTTCCAGTATTCTATCACTACCAGCATGTCATCAACAAACTCTACAATGTAGTGTTAATCTTAGACACTCACCTATATATTACTTTACTGCCATAGGTAAATGCTGATCCATCAATGCCACCATTTTCTGGGATAGCTGGTGCACCACAGGAAACGGCTTAAGGGAGGAAAAGGCATTGCTTTTCTTAGCCAGCATGCGTAAAAATCTCTAAAAGCTCAAGGGCAGCTCTAGGTTTTTGGTCACATTTAAATAAAAGCCCAATACTGGGCTTTAAATACAAAGAATACTGAGACAACATAACACTTGGCATTTCTCCACCTTGACTTTCTAGAATTGCCAAACACCGTAAACATGGGGGAATTTACTCAACATACGTTCACAATATGGTATTAGATGACTCCATTCTCCAGACTCCAAACATGTTATCTTGGCCACTCCCATCAGCTGGTGCCCTTCATCACATGAAAATGTGACTGCAGAACCCACAGTATAAATCTCCCCGGAAGAGTGGCCATTTTCTGGATTTCCTGGAGCCTTGCATTTTATAGGTTCTTGAAAGAGAGAAACAGTTTTTGTGGGTCAATAGGTGGCTTTCACACAACCATGCAAGGTCTCACAGCAAAAGAATTCCACTACAGTTAAGGTACCAGTTAAATCCTGAGGAGAAAAAAAAAGCTTTTGAAGGGAAAGGCATGAAGTCCAGGGAAACACTAGCTGATTAGACCGGAACATACATTTAATAGGCATTTTAAAAACAGTATTTTGAAACAGCAAATGTATAAGGAAACGAAACGAAATTTATCAGCCCCAGAAGGAAGCTTGTGTAGATCTGGGGTGAGTCACTACTTCTAGGAAAGGAAAAAAGTTAAAGGGAGATTTAGGGCTAGAGCTGAACAATAGGAGTGAATAAATACTTAAATTCTCAAAAAGGGAAGATATACTGATTTAACCTTTCTGAAGATCCTTTTGGCTTATAAGCCAAGGACCTTAACTGAAACCCTTGCAAAAAGTAAAAGCAATTCGAAGACTGATTTTGAGAATTCCTCTTTCATTTCTGTCTAATTGTTTTCTGGTAGTTGCTTTCTCATAACTCATGTAGAAAGATATATATGGGTTATCACAAAACATAGAGATGTGTAAGGCAGGACTGTCTATGTTTTTTCAATGGTATAATTCTGTGTGCCTGAGGCAGAGGAAAGATACTGAAGGTGAAGAGGTGATGAAGCATCCTATTTGCTCTGACTGAGGCAGTAGAGGCCACTGCTTATACGTCTAAATCCACTCTATTATTCTTCTATTACGTAGGTATTTCTTCAACAGTCTGGTGATAAAGCTGGCTCTCAGTTTTGTTTTTCAGAAATTGGGAAGTTAGCAAAAGCACAATGCTAGTTTAAAGCACCTTTAATTGTTGCTTGTGTATCATTAAAGATTTTTTTTATTGAAGCATAGTTGATTTACAATGCTGTGTTAGTTTTAAACGTACAGCAAAGTGATTCACTTATACATATATCTCTATATATCTCTATATATCTCTATATATATCTCCATTCTTTTTCAGATTCTTTTCCATTATAGGTTATTACAAGATATTGAATATAGTTCCCTGTGCTGTACAGTAGGTCCTTGTTACTTATCTATTTTATATACAGCAGTGTGTATCTGTTAATCCCAAACTCCCAATTTATCCGTCCCCCTGCTTTCCCCTTTGGTAACCATAAGTTTGTTTTCTATGTCTGTGAATCTATTTCTGTTTTGTAAATAAGTTCATTTGTAACATTTTTTTAGATTCCACATATAAGTAATATCATATTTGTCTTTTTCTGCTTATGTATCCTTTTAAAGGTGGTTTTACTTTTCCATCTCCCCTTTGAAGTTAAAAATTTGTCTTACTATACATTTACAATATATACTTGAATTAAAAAATTGAAATAGACTTCCCAATTACACATAGCCTAGTTACCTGCACAGTTTTTACCATCTCCTGTGTAGGGTGGGATACATGAGCAGATGTAGGATCCATTTGTATTCAGGCAGGAAGCGTGCTCACTACAATCTGACCCAACTGCACATTCATCAACATCTAAAATGAAGAGAGTTTACAGATAGTAAAGTTGATGGATTTGTCTTATGTAGCAAACATTTGTTTTTACTTTTAAATAATTACATACCATTTAATGCATCACACTATACACTGATATATATTGTTATGAAATTTAGATATGGTAGTCATAATCACACTGAAGATCTACAATAAAAGCTGTTATTTCCCCAGTTTATAGGTGAATAAGTAGAAAACAGAAATAAATATTCTTAATATTGAGCCTGGTAAAAATTTAAAACATGTTTGGCATGTCTATGGATAGCTGCTTTGTCACTATGGCTTGCCCAGAGCTCACTAGGATGAGATGAAATTAACAAAGGCATGCCATAAAAGCCTCAGGAATTTGGGATAATTGTCTCCCACAGAGTTAGAGTAAATGCACGCAGTAATTAAATGCATGCAGTAATTAAATGCACACAGTAATTGCCAAGATTTATCTCACCAAGACACGATGGTGAAATGCCATTCCAGCTCCCATTATCCGTACAGAACATCCTGGAATCACCCAACAAATAGTAGCCATTGTTGCACTGGTAGGTCACTGTGCTGCCAGCATGGAAGTCCTCGGCTGAATAAAAGCCATTCTCCAAAGGGGGTGGCACCCCACAGCTAATGCCTGTAATGTGACAACTACATTAGGAGCAACATACTCAATGAACATTTTACTTACATTTATTTATTTATTTTTTAGAAATTTATTTAATTTATTTATTTTTGACTGCATTGGGTCTTTGTTGCTGCACATGGGCTTTCCTAGTTGAGGTGAGCGGGGGCTACTCTTTGTTGCGGTGCGCGGGCTTCTCGTTGAGGTGGCTTCTCTTGTTGCGGAGCACGGGCTCTAGGCACGCGGGCTCAGTAGTTGTGGCATGTGGCCTCAGTAGTTGTGGCTCGTGGGCTCTGGAGCACAGGCTCAGTAGTTGTGGCGCAAGGGCTTAGCTGCTCCGCGGCATGTGGGATCTTCCCGGACCAGGGCTCAAACCCGTGTCCCCTGCACTGGCAGGCGGATTCTCAACCGCTGTGCCACCAGGGAAGTCCCATTTTATTTATATTAAACGCGTAGTTGAGTTAAGCATGAACTTTTCATTACACAACAAACATTAGACTGAAAACGCTTAGGAGTGGTGACAGGCTACAGCCATACCTGTGCCCAGAGCGCCTGGCTCACAGTAGGCATGCAATTCATTCACTTAAAGAAATATTTATGGAGAGCCTGCTACCTGCTACACACTGTCCTGATGCTGAGGTTGCAGTAATGAACCAAACAGACAAAATCCCTGACTATCTAGTCAGAGAAGAGACACAAGAAACAGATAAATATATGATATATCAGGTGGAAAAAGATGCACTGGAGGAACTTCTCTGATCACCCTATCTATTACAGCAGCCCTGCTCCCACTCAACCCTCTCTCTTTATTATCTCCCTGCCCTGCTTTAGTTTTCTTCAGAGCCTTTACTTTTGGCCCTTGCTGTTCTTATTTACTATAACCAAATAATATTATATTTACTTGTTACTTTCTGCCTCTCCTACTACTATGTAAACTCCAAAAGAAGAGAGACTTTTTTCCCCACCTGCTGCATCTCCAGAACTTAGCTCAGTGTCTAGCACACACTCACACCAAGTACTTTCAAAATTGTTGAATAAATGAATAACTGGGTGTATCCAACTTAAGAAATCTATTCCTGTTTTCCCACCCAGCAGTGACCCATCTCCCTTTGGGCTCCAGCCCTCACACCTGTCTTTCCCTCCATCCAGTTCCTTGGGTCACCTGGGTGCCTTCACAGGTGGTGGGCTCTTTGGATCCTCATCTCCCACCTCCCTCATGGTGCCCAGCACACTCATTACACAAGGGAAGTATTCAGTGAATATGTGCTATATTGGCTACTATGCATATGCAGTATTTCACTTTTATCTAGCATTCCTGAAAAGTGTTCTTAGGGTTCCAGCATTTTTCAAGAGCTACTGAAACGCCTTCAATGAAGGCAGCTCACGTTCACAGAGAGGCAGTGGCTGTGTCCACTGTCCTTGATTCAGGCAATACTGCACGGGGTTCCCGACCATCTGGAAGCCCGGATCACAGAACAGACTGATTCTGGAGCCTGGCTTTACGTCTCCTGATGCAGTTCGCAGATGAGGCACTGATCCTTCTAAAGGTGGGCAATCTGAGGGCAGAGAATGCAGGTTCAGAGCTTGTCAGTAACACAGTGGCAGCATCACCAGGTTAAGGGTTTCAAATCATATGTTGTACCAGCGTTTGAGCGCCACTCTATTGATATTAAAACAAGACGACATGTAACCAGATCACTGGCAGGCAAATTTTCTGGAAAAAAAACTGTTGGAGTCAACAAACAACTTTCCCTCTTCCAGCAGAAGTCTGCTGAATAATTTTTAAGGAAAAAATAGTATTTTAGAATTAATAAAATATTCTTGTGAGTTATCCAAAAACATGAATTCTAGGATACCTTCAGAAACTTGTTTAAATACACTGAATTTTAGGAGGCATTTTTGATCATTGAGAGTTTGACTATTCAGTATGTGGATCATAACATCCATTTCTTTTCTCTCTGTGCCACCTGCCCCTAGATGACAGCTAGGAAGTACAGAGCCGAGGAGGATGGGACTTCGGGGGGGCATTTTAAAAAATTAACTGTATAACTCCTCTCATCCTATTTTCCTTAACTTATTTTACCTTTGTTTAAGTTTCCTGCACAATTATTTTGTACCCTGTTACTCAGAATGTATTTAACGGTTAAAAAATAATAGATCCTTCGGATGAAGGTAGGGTAAAATGAATTACTAGGTAAACAATAAACTGACAGACATACACTATTTGACCAATAGAGACTCAAACATCTCCTTTTGCTAGAAAATCCCAGAGTAGTCAAGAGACAGCAGAGTCTATGGAAGAAGGAAACTAACCAGAACAGAATAAGCTCTTGGAATCGATCTTCACTCTCCCCACAATTCCTGACAGGAAATCAGGCCAGGCTAGCACATTTCCTTTACTGAGTTCCTCTGGGCATGAGGAAGCCAGCGATTTCACCTGAAAGTTTAAAAACACATCTTTAGATAAACCTCACTTTTTTCAGGAAGACAGAGTTATTATATCTCCTACTGAAAACCTTCATAGAAGGGTGGAGGGCAGTGGTGGGAAGCAGACTTTTGGATGTAGAGCGTGATTTCAGGGGCAAAGGAGAATTCTCTTCCTTCCCTCTCTCTCCTCCACGCCCATCATTCCTTTTCCCAAATATTTCACTGTTAACTGGAATTCTGAAATTCTACCTATAGAATTTCTTGTCTAAAACTTTGCAGTGTGTTCAGGTGTTATAGGTAGGGGCTCTCCCTTTCCAGTCTCCTGTCTTCTATCTCTCATCTGGAGTTGAGAAAGCTGAGGTTTAGGCAAGTTCTGCCACTATAATAGTAAGAGCAAACATGTGCCAAACAATGTCTCAATCTTACATGCAGGATTTTGTTCCATCCTGCCAAAACTCCACTATGCAGTTCTATTTGTTTACCTTTCATAGATTAGAAAACTGAAGCTTACAGAGATGGGGTAACACGTTCAAAATCATCAGAGTGAGTTCGTGGTAAAACTCGGATTTGAACCCAGGCCATTGGACTGCAGACTGGCTTTAACCACTAGCCCAGCTGTTACTCTCTGTGTGTAATCTTGTGCCAGCCCTAAATTTCTGCTTCTTTAGTCAGAGGGGTTGGAAGGAGTCTTCTCTATGATTCTTTCTAGCTCTGAAACCACAAGATTTTATGAAACAATCATGTCCAATAAAACTGTAAAACATCACCAAGAGACTGAAAAGGAGATTCACTGAAAGTTACTGTAGATAATCTCTGCCTGGCTCAGTCTACGACCATAACATCAAGTGATATCGGTGGTAAGTTCTGGAATCTCAGAGGTGTCAATAAGGTATGGCATCGTTAGGCTTTGCACATATGTACTAGATTTGTACCTTTGCATCTCATTACTGTCATACACTGAAAATGGAATTGACCTGCTGTGGAGACAGGACATAGTCCCAGAGGTTGAGCTGGCTTATGGAGCCCACAAAAGACTCAGCTGGGTTGAATCCCTCTCCTTTTTTGTCTTGTTCTTGCCCCAGGACTAATGCACCACCACCTACAGAGAAAGGAGAGAAAAAAGGAGGCAAACTGGCCTGATCGTTATTTCTAAAATGCGAACTTAATGAAGGCACAGCCTATATAAATGTATCAGGGAAAGTTATTGACAAGCTAAATTATCTACATTTGCTGCATGATTTATCAGTGAGATGCATTCGATATTTTATAGACCAACTTAAAAAATGGTCAGAGAGGATTTCGACTATTATATTTGATTTATATATACTTAACTATGAAACTAGACATATACATATATAAGCATATAATATTTTATGTCAACAAAATAGCTAAGTCCTATTTCGCCTCCTGTGTTCTAGGAAATTACCCTCCATGACAGATTACAGTAGCTGCTCTTCATCTTTTTATTCTTTAGCTTACGATGATTAAAGTTCTATCATCAATCCCAAGGAACATTCCAGTGGCCGCCTAATTGCAAAGTCCAATGGAAACGCTTCAATATTCACCTATTAACCATTTCATTCTATTAACCTGCCCTTCCTGGCATACTCCAGAACTCCCCTTCCCCCTTCTCCACTCTGCTTTGTGTCTCCAAGGTTGACACCTATGGACTACACCACCTCGTTTCCTCGGCCCTCTGGCTTCTGTGTGGCCAATGGAAAGACCAATTAGAGGTAAGAAAGTGGGATGAGAGAGAAGTTTAACTTCCTGGATACCTTTCTCCCAGGCAACAGATGGTAGGGGTTGCTTTCCTCTCTCTCACATCATCGCTCCCGCTGGGTGATTTCTCCCCATCACTGCAGGTTTGCCTGCTTTCTGGCGACAACTCCCCATCCTTGTCAATTCCTGTCCATCTCTTGTGATTTTCCACTGTTGCCAGTCATGGTGTGTTTTACTACCACATCTTGGTTCTCAAGCATGCCCACACCTTTGAAAACAATCTCTTCATGAAACTCTTCAGTTACCGTCCTTGTGTGTTTCCTGCCAGGAGCCTGACTGATTCTAATTGGTTACCATGACCGCATCCTCTCCTGGTTCTCCTTGAACCTTTCTGCTCATTCCCAGTCTCCCTTCTCTGCCTGCCTCCTAGACTCTGATGCACCCAGGATTCCACCCTAGCCTCCTTTCTTCTTCCTTCAGCTATTCCCCCTATCTGACCTCACTCCTGCCAATCTATGTCTATAGAGCCCTCATTCATGATTTCCCAACCTACATCTCTTTCTTACAAAATTAATCATTAAAATTAACACATACACATAGAAGGAAATTTGAAAAAAAAAAGTATAAAGAATTCCTTCTACCCAGAAACAATCATTTAACAGTTTTGTGTGTTTCTTTCTAGGTTCTATATTCTTTTAATTATTTTTTTTAGTATGTGTGTGTGAGAGAGATTTTGAAACACACAACACAGGAGCCTCTCCTACATATGACGTTGGAAGCTTGCTTTTCTTCTTGAACATGTTCTCATTTCATGAGTTTTAATAGCTATTTTATCACGTGAATGCACAACAATCCATACTTTTCTTCATTAACTAACTTAACAACCACTCCTTATTGGATATTGGGGTTGTTTCCAGGTTTGGTACTAAGATAACACTGAGATAAATAGACTGATACGTAGATATTTGTTCAGATCACTGATTCTTTCTTTTCGATTGATTCCTGGTAGTGAAATGTTGGTTGCGTGCAAAGGGTTTCTCTAAGGCTGTTGATGAAAGTTTCTGAATTGTTTCCCAGAAAGTCTGGATCAATTTTCACACCCTCCAGGACTCTATAAGAACATTCACCATGCTGAATCCTTGCCAAACATATCTTACCACTAAAAAGCAACTCTCAATTTGATATAAAGTGGTATCAACCCATGTTTGTAGCTGCACATATTCCTGGGATTAAATTCAAACTCAATATGCCTAAAACCAAATACAGAATCTCCCCCCACCCCTGATTCCTGCTCCGATAATTGTCCTTTCCCGAGAGAATTCCCATCTCAGCTAACAGACTCTTCAATAAATCTGGTCACCCAAACTGCAGTCAGTCATTCACTAGGGTCTGTCAGTTGGAGCTCTGCAATATTTATGGACAGTAATTCATTCTTATTGCTATGGTCACACAACCATCTCCTTGGGTGGCTACTATTATAGTTCCCTTGTTTTATTTTCCTATTCCTTTAACTTACTTTCACTCTTCTATTAGGATGTAATTTTCTTTTGAGATAGAAATATTCTTTTTTTTTTTTTTTACCATCAGTGAAATAAATGCTCATTATGAAAATATCAGAAAAGAATAAAGAAGAAAAATAAAAGCCACCTGCAATCCCACCACCCAGAGAAGGGAGAGTTAAAAACAAGAATACTCTAAATTAAACACAAAAAGGAGCCACCCCCACTTCACAGGATAATGCCACTTCCTGCAGAAACGCTTTTAATGTTTCCTTATTTACTACAGAGAACCTCCAGCCATTCCTCCTCATATGACGTATGTCACAGAAGGACCTAGATACTGCAGGCTTATTGCCAGGTACAATGCTGAGAACACTGGAACATTTAATACTTTTGCATTCCTTCAAACAAAACTTTCTAAATATTTGTTTAAAAGTATTTTTAGAAGAGAGTTTGAGTTCTGTCAGAAAAAGGGCCTAAAAGATGGATAGCTATTAGCAGTGCCCCAGCTTGTATTCTGGATCTACTTGTATACTGTGCATACTGATCACGAACCAAACCTAAAATAAAAACAACAAACAAAACCAACCGACAAAACACACCAGCAATTAGTCTCCTCCTTGGAAGACAGTTTAGTAACCACCCACTGTTACGCATCTTGGTAATCTTAATATACATCCCAAAGGCATTTCTTACAGAGTCACACAGCTCACCTAGGAAAAGCTTCTAATAATTCAGTCAGGATAATCAGGGGGTGGTAAATGGGAGAGATAATTTAGCAAACTTGATGTTCATCAAAGCACCACCGCCTCTAGCATCAGATGGAATTATATTCCTTTTGCTAAGACATACCAGGGATGGGCGAACCAACAGAGAGGCCCACACCACCGTCAGATAATTTCCCATCGATATAGACTTTCCAGGCTCCATCAGCACTCGTCCAAGTGATTGCAATATGATGCCAACTGCCGTCATTCACCGAGGGACAGTCTGTTATTTTTTCCTTGCCATTCACATAAAGAACCCAGCTGCAGAAAGATACAGTCATCAGTCATATGTTGTAATCCCATCTGTGGGGCATGTTACTATCTTTCTTTTTTTCCTTCTTTTCCTTTTTTGTGGGTAAAGCACTTTGGGTAAAACCGTTACTTCTATTTCGCCATTTCAGCCATGTTTCATAGAAGCAGATTTGATTCCTAATTACTCTTTATTGTAGCTCACGGAAAACTGGTTTGTGTTTCTGAAACACCGAGGGGTAGGAAAAAGTCTTAGGATGAGCTGAAAGAAGTCAGTCCAACTTGAGATAATTCACCAACTGTCTATTCTGGAGAGACTGAGTCAAGAAAGGAAGGAATGAGAGTTATGTAAATGTCAGTCTGGTTTCCTTTCTCTCGGATGTATGTTCCCACACCTCAGAACAGACTTCAGAGATCTCATAGGAAGTCAGTCCTAATTCTCTGTTGCCAAAACAGTCACATGGCAGACGAAGTATACTGATCCAAAGAAAAGAGTAATTGGAACTAAACAGAGGTGACCAAACACAAGAGGGTTCCAACAACCACGTCACTTAGAGGAATGTCAAAGTTAACAAGCAGTTAAAAGTAAAATATCTTCAAAAGCACATGGAGAAAAAGAAGAGACTAGGGAAAATTGATAAAGAAGGTAAGAATTCATTGACTAACTCTCCCAGCATCTTCTGAGCCCCTATTCAAAGATGTTTATGCAAAAATATTTTTATTGATAAAACATGAATTGTTTCCCCTCTGTGTTTTCCCATTTTCCTCCCCCAATTCAAGCAGGCAACAGGTTTTCTCTTTCTATACATTCTGCCTCAGGGGAGGACGTTGCAAATTTCTTGGATTTTGTTTCTGAACGTTCAAGTCCATTAAGAAGAATGGGGTTTGAGGATGGGAAGATTCCCACCAGAATAGTGAGAATCTCATGGATTGATGAGAGGAAAGAGAGCTCAGTGGGTCCCTGAAGGCTGCAACCTGCTCACTAGCAAAAGAAGGCCATGTGGCGCATCACAGAATCTCTCTAGACCGAAGGCATAAACTCTCAGCCTTGACAAGGACTCCACATGCGGCAAAGAGCAGTAGTTCTGAAAGGACCACAGAGGCTGAGGCAGTGGATAGCTCACTGATCAGCAGGGTAGACAGATGACCAATGACGGGAGTCCTGCCTGAGTCTGTGGCTCCTTAGCAAAACTCTGCGGGTTTTAGATGATCTGTGAGCATCTAAGACAGGAGAAGCAGTCAGTAGAAAGAAATCAGAGAAACAACCGGGGCTAACTTTCCCAGAGGGATGGGGCTCTGCATTTGGAATGAACTGATCCAAAAAGACACAGAGGAACGTCATCTTGCACACCTGAGATTACAGACGGATTCGTGTTCAATACAAGTGTCTCCCAGGGGTCAACAGTGCCACTGAAATCTCTTGACTCTTGGCCGCTCTGATATGTAAATAAAGGAGCACTGGTCTGAAAAGTCAGAGTCTGACACTTAACTCTGCCACTCCCAGGGTGTGAGATTTGGGGGCAAAGCGTTTAGTTTCTCTGAAACTTCATTTTACCTTTTAAGGGGCATCAGTTCCTCAAGTCATTGTGAAGCTCAAATGAAATAATACATACGAAAACACTTAGCAAATAGCAAAAGACAATACATGTATAAGGCATTACCACTGAAACTCTGCCTTCTTATAGGACTTGTCCAGATGCTCTGTTTGATTACTGTCACCCTGCTGTTCTGCTGGAACACCTGACCGCGCCCCCCCCCCCCCCCCCCCCCCACCCCAACCCCCCCCCCCCCCCCCGCCGCCGCCGCCGCCGCCGCCGTGTCGCGGAGGCCGGACGCGGGAGCGGGATGGAGGGCAG